TTATCTGTGACTTATCCGGCCTAAACCGCAAGCTGCCAAGATGCATTTCGCTGAGAAAGCTACGGTAAGATATCCGAGTAAGTCATAGATCAGAATACACTCAGTCTCGGCAACTAGAACAGCCGAATCTGTCACGAAAACTACCTAATGCTGTTTCATCTCAATCTGCCCCTCGAGAAACGACTGATTCAGACAAACAAGCCGGGCGTTCCGAGAGATGAAACCAGATATAATATGCTGATCGGAGAGCATCGTCGCACTCGGCTGTGAACCTATCCAGAGAACTCTGGATATCCATTTTGAAAGATGTCAACAAAACAAAAACATCTGTAAACAGCAAACTTCTCATCTCTATATCTTTTACGCTAATATACTCGTCACCCTGGCTTCTCCATCCTGTTCGTAGAAGCAGGAGAGAGGACAGAACGCCGCCTCGATGGAGACAAGTACCAACGCTGAAAGTCTAAACGTGGACGATATTTACTCTGGCGCAGCACCCGTTATCAACATATAGTGATTGGATCCAACTGGACGTCGATCCCGTATGTCCGAAGACATGCCCATAGATCGTAGCGCAAGATCCGGTCATAGTCTTTCCCTAGGTCAACAAAGCACATGTACACCGGCTGAGAAAACTCTTAAGATATCTCAACAGTCTGTCGGAGGTGCTTCGGCTTGATTTGAAGCCACATTCCATTTCTTGGATCTTAGAGTCACTTATTCCGCGGCAGATCGTTTCTAACATCTTTGCTTGGACTTTTACCGGTAAGTTCCACAAGGCAACTACATGATAATGTGCACCACTATGGTTTCCTTCTTGAACAGGGGTATTACAAATGCGTTTTCCAATCCACTGCTATCTTCCCTTTAGCCACTGGAGTTTCAAAGGCACGTGTTTGCCACAACATACTCTGTTCCCCTGAAGCTTTAAACAATCTAAGACGGATTTCGTCGATTCCAGCAGTCTTGCCACATTTCAAGCTTCTTACATCTTCTCTGACTTCCTCAACTGAAAGATTAACGTGCGCTATTAGCAGGTCATCAGGCGAGTCTTTATGCGGTTACTCTGATATAAAGAGTTTCTCAAAGTACTATCTCCATCGCCGAAGTATGCCCTCATAATTAGCAAGAAGGGCCCGGACAAGTCAATCAGCATTCACAGACCGTCCACCTTCCTATCTGGGTTGAAACTGATGGCCTGTCCGAACAGCTTGTTTGCCGCTTAGAAATTCGACTCCAACACCTCACTGAACTTCTCCCAGGAACCAGCTCTGGCATTCGCCACTGCTTTAGCTACCGCCTTGCGCGCATCTACATATCGCACGTGGGTTTAAGGCACTTTCTTTCCAAGCCATCTCTTTAATGCAATCATCTCCTCATTAACTGTCAGTTGTACTTCTCGTTCTCACCAGGAAGTTCACTTCTGATCTCCGGTTGACAGGCCAACCCGTTTGAATCTGCAGCATTCGAAGGCAGCCTTGAGTATGCCGCTCCTACAAAGTTTCCGTCGGTTTACATATTATCGGTAATCACCGGGATCTGCTCAAACCGTTGTGCGATGTTGCTCGCAAGTTTCGCCATCGCGTTCACCGAAGATAAAGTTTCCCATTTGATCCTCTGGTTGCGTCTGCCACCAGATCTTCGTATGGTGCTCCATTTCTTACAGCGTAGCGTGCCAACAACAAGGTGGCGATCCGTTAATACCTCTGCGCCTCTCTTAACGCGAACATCCATTACAGTGCCGTAAGTCAGAAGATACAGACGATACGATTACCAAACTGATAATCGACTTCTGTGCACAAGCTTCCCTGTATCAGGCATCCTGATGCACGCTTCAGTGTTCGAAGAAAGTACTCATAATGGACAGTCTGCTGTTTGCACAAAACCGCAACAGTTTCATGCCGCTATTGTTGAGGTCGCTAGAGAAGCTCTTCCAAATCACGCTTTTCCACTTTTCAGTGCCTGCTCCAACATGCTCACTGAAATCGTCCATCAAAATGAAGGATTTCGTAATCGGCGCTTCTTACAGAGGACACTCCACTTCCACAAGGAAGGAATCATATTCTCCCTG